TGTGTGTGTGTGTGTGTGTGTGTGTATGCCTCTGTGTGTGTGTGTGTGTGTGTGTGTGTGTGTGTATGTGTCTGTGTGTCTGTGCACTCGCATCACACGTGTCTGCGCAGAGACTCACACACTCATTGGTGCATGTGTAGGCTACAGGTCAGCCCCAGGTGTCATCCCTCACACACTGTCTAGTTTTTTGAAGCCAGATCTCTGGAGCTTGCCATGTTGACTAGGCAGCTGAACCATGAGCCCCGGGGCTCCTCCCATCTCCACTTCTCCAGAGCACTAAGTATAAATACCGTCACTATATGCCAGGCCTTAAGAAGTGGGTTCTGGACCGGGCGTTGGTGATGCACGCCTTTAATCCCAGCACTGGGGAGGCAGAGGCAGGCGGATCTCTGTGAGTTCGAGGCCAGCCTGGTCTACAAGAGCTAGTTCCAGGACAGCCTCCAAAGCCACAGAGAAACCCTGTCTCGGAGGAAAAAAAAAAAAAAAAAGTGGGTTCTGAGGTATGGAACACAGGTCCTTGTGCCTGCCAGAAAAGCACTTCACTGACCGAGCTATCTGCCTAGTCTTTGCCATCAAATTTAAAAGGTAAATTTGAATACAGCAAGGTTCACAAATCATGATGGCACAGCCCGAGGACAGTTAACATAAACATACAAACACTATTCAGGCCTCTCCTTACTCCACCAGTAGCCTCTGGGGATGTCTGCACACCTTTTCTGTCAGTCACACGTGACTCTTCTCACTTTTGACACCATGGTTAAGATTTTGAGCTTTATATGCATGGCCTCACCTGATATACATTCTTTGTCTCAGGCCTTTGGCTCGGTAGGATGCTGATGATGTACACTGATGCTATTGCCAAGGCTCAGTCCACGTTGTTCCGTATGTAAAAAATCTGCTCATCTATTTGGTGGGTGATGAACTGGACACCTCTAGTGTTATGGTACTATAAATCGAGATCCAGCTGCCACTGTTGTATGCGCCATAACAAGCCCCTTTGTAAGAATATGCAGTTACTAAGAAAGCATTACGGAGCTAAGGGGTAATAGGATATGAGAGTTTTCTTTTTTCTTGACTTCTTACATGTGCACTTCTAGTGCGGTGCTGAGCAAGCGTCACAGCAGCGAGAATTCTCGCCTCGCTTTAGACTTAGAGAAATTGACTTTAGGAATTTAGAAGATCATTTATCAAGTTGAGAAAGATTTTTTAGTTCTAATTTTTAATATTTTTACTCTCATGGATAGGCATTGAATTTTATACGGTGCGTATTTTATATCAACTGAGATCACTAGGTATAATTTTCTCTTAACATTTTTATGTGACAAGTGGTTAAATATTATTATTGTTTTCATTTATATAGTATGAATGTTTTTCAGTGTGTTTGCACCACATGAACGCCTGGGGTCCTTGGAGGACAGAAGAGGGCAATGAGTACCCAGGGTCTGGAGTTACAGACAGCTGTGAACAGCTATGTGGGTCCTGGGAACTGAACATGGGTGCCCTGCAAGAGCAGCCTGTGCTCTTAACTGCAGAGCCTCCTCCTGCCCCGTGATTTATTTATTTATTTATTTATTTATTTATTTATTTATTTATTGAGACAGGGTTTCTTTGTGTGGCTTTGGAGCCTATCCTGGGCCTCGCTCTGTAGACCAGGCTGACCTTGAACTCACAGAGATCTGCCTGCCTCTGCCTCCTGAGTGCTGGGATTAAAGGCGTGTGCCACCAACACCCGGCTACTGTGATTCATTTATAAAGGTTAAACCATTTAAAAAAATAAAGCCAGCTTGCCTGTGGTAGTTATTCTGGATAACCTACACACCAGGGAACGACTCGCTGGGAAATAGTGAGGCATGTATGCTGCATGTCACAGCTGTGACACGTTGTCCTTTAGGCTAGGCTAAGTTGTGCCGCACACCATCAGTCATGAGGCTGCTACTGCCTCAACTTACTGGAGATACAAGGAACTTGAGCCTGTACTAAAGATTTAAACCCTCAGAGTAGTATAAGACACAATTCATCCTGGAATGTGGAACTCAGCTGTCTATGTAGGACGTGCACGCACCTGAACTTTCCAGGGGAATTCCACCCTGAAATAGTGAGGAGCTCATCCACACCAGCACCTCAGCTTCTGTCCCTGTAGTCACAGGGAATAAGGGAAACTCTCAGACTCTCTCTAGAGCAGTGTGGGAAATGAAAGCCGAAGCTGTATGGGCTGCATAGCTGAGCACGCACACATGGGACAGCGGAGGAGCGAAAACATTTGGCAGGCCCTGTCAAAGCAGCCTTTGTGCCTGTGTGTACACACACACACACACACACACACACACACACACACACACACACACACACACGGCTGCTGTGATAGATACAGAATGTTCACCTGTAGGGAGATACTGTTAACCATGCCTCCTAAGGACTGGGTACAGGTGTGCCCGACCACGCCCATCAGGGTGTGGTCAAGGTGACGTCAGGGTGATGTGGGAGAGATTTACCCCCTACCATATATTCTCACATCTTTAAGATCTGTGGGTGGTATTAATTAGGCATGGGGTGTGTCAATGTCTCTTTAAAGTATCTTACTCTTTAGTCTCTATGCTCTTGTACTGTATTTAAGAAACAACTAACGGCAAAGCCACTGTTCTCTTTGCTGAAGTGTCTTTCTTCTGCAACCCAGCAAGTGCCTGTCTATGACAGCAGAATAAGGAGCAGGGCTGAGGGATGCGCAAATGTCAGGGTGTTTGGCTTTCTCTTTGCTGGTTACTGTGTGCTCAGGGGAGCAAACTGCCCCACAGTAGAACCCCCCCCAAAAAAAAAATCCAAGGATGAACACGTGAAGTCACTTCCCCTTGAAGAATTGGTCATACATTTTTTTTTTTTTTTTTTTTTTTTTAAGGATATGAGCCTGCGGCTCAGGCATTCCTCTTTCCAGTTATTGGTCAATCGTTGAGAACATGTCTGTGTCCTGGCGATTCTGATACGTACTTAGCTGTGAGTATTCACAGTACAGTTTCACGCGTAGTTGCCTAACAGCGAGGGGGCCCTTAGGTGCATGTCTCTTTCAGAATTGTTGTGCAGAGTGTGCATACGCAGACAAATGTTTTTTGAACCCTAACAGAAAGATGCTCCAGGAAAAGTTGAAACTAAATTTGAAAAGTTAAGTGACCGAGGGTGACTCATTGGGGATATATTTCTTGAGACTCCCGGGGAAAAATCATGGAGTCCTAAGCCCACACCTGTCCCTCTGACAGAGGATCTGTTGTTGCTTTAGGAAAATGTTGACAATTCAGATTCAAATCTTATTTCAGGGTTGAGGACACACAGGCAGTTCTATGAAAATGGATTATCATTAAATTGCTAGTGATCTATTATCTATTAATAATAATCTATTAATTATTATCAATTGTTAGAACCCATGATTCCATTTCTGGAAGGCGCTAGTAATGGTGGGTATTATTTCCCAAGAGGAACTCTCCTAACACTGTGGCTTTCCAGGGTTTTATGGGAAATTCTGAGGTTCATGGAGGGTCTTAAGGGTCACAGACAAGAAGGTTGATTTTCAAGGTCGTGGGCAGTGAGTGTTCCCCCTCATCTCGGGCAGAGCTGCCTGTGTTTTGTACACTGGAATTCAGCCTAAGACTTGTGTTTAAATGCACCATTCTGCAAAACAAGGCTATAAGATGACAGCCACTGTGTGAAACTGTGTCTCAATGCCGGGATCTGGTTCCTTCTAGGTACAGTGTTCTTCAAATTCAGTTTTTCTCTAGAATCTGGGGGCATCTGATAAGAATAAAGTACTCTCTGCCAGAAGAAATGACACAGACACAATTTCAAAGCATATCTAGAAGGCTTGTGGAGTTACGAAAATCTAATCAGAGTCTGGGTTAAAGATGACAACTCAGCCAGGCACAGCAGTGCACGACTGTGCGCCTGGCACTCAGGAGGCTGAGGCAGGAGGCGCAAGAGTTCAAGACCATTCTGGGACATCCAGGCGGCCCTATCTCAAAAGTCCAAAAAATAAAACAACAACAATGACGGCAACGAGGAACACAACCATCTACTCTAAGATCCTGTTCAGTACCAGACCCCTGGTTGAATGAGAATAGGAGACTTGGGCTTCATGCTTGGCTGTGTTTGGAAGTGGTGGGCGTTTTTTGTCACAGCATAGCACATAGGGCCACTTTTCTATGCGAGACGCATTCTTCACACTTTCAAAAATTACAGCAGGAGGCTGCGGCAGGAGAACTGTCATGAGTTCACAGACAGCCCAGGATACACAGTGAATTTCAGGCCATCTTGAAATTCAGGGGTTCAGAGTGGGGTAACTTTTCAAAAATAACAACTCCCCTCCCCCAAACAAAGAAGCCACAGGCTGGCTGGCCACATGGTTGGTTCAATAGCAACCATTATGAAGAACCATGGAAGTTAGTTACTTGGCTGCCGTGGTATGGTTTGGATGCAGGGTCCCCAAAGGCTTCATGCATTGAAGGCTTAGTCCCCAATGCAAATAGTGTGTAGGGGCGAGAATTCGAGTGGGGTGGATTGGGAAGGAGCCAAGCTCTGAACAGACTCGGGAGACAGAGCTGTGTGGAAGGTGGGGGCTGGATGGAGGATGGGGCTCCTCTGGGGTTGTATCTTATGGGGGCCACTTGCAGACATGGCTCCTGCTTGTTTTGTGGCTGCTGTGAGGTAAACGGTTTTCCCCACCATCCCTGGTGTCACAGCGAAGAGCAGGTAAACCACACAGGCTTACCTAGCTCTCCAGGAACCAACCGAAGTATTTTCTTTGAGCTGTTTCTCCCAGGTATGGTCACAGAGACAAAGAGCGAACGCAGTCTGGCGCCCAGATCCGAGGATGCTTAACGTTTAGCAATACGCACATCCCGCCTCCCCCCACCGCCTGTCTCTTCCCTCTCCTGGAATATGTATGCTTTGTTGGCTTACCTGGGGCTGAAGCGAGCTTGGCTGGCCGGGACTTCAGCTGTGTATCCAACCTTTTTTCAGAAGTGTCTGGGTCATGTGGTTCAATGAGAGAACAGTAGGGGTGTGGAGAGGTGTGAGGATTGCAGCACCAAGGACTCCGAGTGGGTAAAGTGGACGGCAAGATTTCCTTTTCTCTGTAACAAGAGAAAGACCAATTTGAAATCTAAAGGCATTTAATGCAGTAGCATTTGTACTGGAAGTGCAAGTAGGGAGAAAGCTGATTTTAAAAAACCAAGAGGGAGCTGGAAAGATGGCTCATCAGTTACCAGCCCTGGCTGCTCTTCCAGAGGACCTGCCTTGGGTTTGCAGCACCCACACGGTGGCTTTGAGCCACCGGTAACTCTAGTTCCCATCGCCCTCTTTGGGCCTCTGTGGGTACTGCACACAAACATGCATGCAGGGAAAACACTCATAAACATAAAATAAATGATAACAGTATTTAAAAAAACAAATAGAATGCCTTTTCTGGATCTTGTAGGCAGAGCATCTATTATGTCATAAGCATTTGCTTAAAGAGGAATGAGATTCTGCAACTCTGTCCTCAGCTAGCTTGAGGATAAAATTCCTAGGCATGCATCTGTTTGTACCTTCCCACCTCTCTACAGTTGCTTTGCCTCAAACAGCAAGCAGGGCAAGGAAGAGTGAAGGGGCCCGTGGATCTCATGACTATCCACCCACAGTGTCGCCCTCCAGAGCCCGTGTATAGAGATCTGCTCTCTGCAGCACACATGGCTGTACTGGGGCCATGGCCAATTGACTGATGAGCCATGCGTCTGCTCCCAGTCCTTCCCACACGCTCAGTGACGGGTGGGGGTTGGGGGAGGGACGACTCAATACACAGGCAAAATGAAGTGTCGCTTACTTAGGAAGAGCAGGGTAGATGTGGTCTATCCGACATTGGGAGGGCTCCTTTGCTGGTTCTTGTTTTTCCTTATTTATGGAAGACATGGACGCTGTTCTCTGCCCAAACATACGCTTTTTCAGTGTTGGAATCACTACTGAACATCTATCAAATTCAATATCGGTCTCTAATTTCTCCCACGCTTGCTTCCAGTGGATTGGAGTGTACCAGGCAATAGCCTAACAGAAACAAAGAGGGTTTTCAATATAAAATATTACTCGGGTTGTATGTATTTACTGCCATAGGCCGGATGCATTGTTATCTAGTTTCGGTTTCATGATTTTGTTTGAGATAGCCTCTCACTCTGCAGTCTAGGTTGGTCTGGCACTTGCTATGTTGTCCAAGCTATTCTACAAATCACGATAATTCCCCTGCTCCAGCCTCCAGAGTGCTGGGATTAAAGGTGTGAGCTTTTACACCTTAGAACTGATTTCTAAAATAAATTTTATTGTTTTTAAGTTTCCAGTATTAACTATAGAATACACACACACACACACACACACACACACACACACACACACAATCTGTGACAAGAGCTAGTGAAATTTACTTTAGAAAATCCCAGATACAATGCCCTTTAAGTGCTTATATTCCATGTGCCATGCATTAGTTCTCTAGACTTATTTATACGATTGTCTTCTTTGAGTATATACCAACAGAGACACTTCTGGGTCACATGCAAATTCTGTTGTAGTTTCTTTAAACAGCCCTTCCCGGAGCTCCCACTGTGAAGACAGGATCTGCTCCCTATCTGGATCTTAAATGTAAAACAAGGATCTGGGAAAGCACCAGAAAGTACTGCCTGCAGCTTTGTAGGTAACTATCATTCTGTTGCACCCTGAAAATATAAGATTGTGTGTTGGGAGCAGAATCTCAGAGCTTGGCATGAGATCCTGTGCTTGGCAGGCCACATAGTCAACCTTTACAAAGCAGCTCCTTAGAACCTCAGCTCAAGAAAAGAAACAACCTGACCCTGTCCTCCACACACAGGAGCAGTCCCCTAGGCAACCCTTTCTGGACCTCTTACTCATGAACTCTTTACCCTGCCAAACATCCTCTTTGTGGCTTCCTAATATCCTGCCTACACTAACACCTGGTGCACAAACAACCCATTCTGCCCCTCCCCATATCCTGCTCTGCTGACTATATAAGCTAGCCTGAGAAAAGTAAAGTTTGCCACTTGATCAGAATCCTGTCTTGTGGTCGTTCTTTCTGCGTCTCTTGTCCCCATTCCCTATCCCTGACTCTCTTGCCTGAGGTTGATGTCCTGCATGTCGGGACAGTTGAGTACTGTCATCACTAATGTGTTATGAGTCTATGGATTTTCAAAACAGGGCAGAATGTCTGTCAGTCACATTGGAGTCATATAGGACTCATGGCCACTGCTTACCCTCACTCTCGGTGTCTGGTAGAATCTCAGGCCTGTCTGCTTCATCCAACATGTGGACAGGAGTGAGATTTTCCAGGAAAACCTTTGTTAAGATTGCAGAGTGAGGACTAGTTTCACTGAGATAAGAATGGGAGTGACTTTTTTTTTTATTTTAGAACTGTGTGTTGCTTTAGGGTTTCATATGGACATAGAATCTCCTTGCATTCTTATTAAGGGTGTATTTTCTAGCTGAAGAATCCTATTGCTTTATCACAGCTTGGTGTTTCTAATGTGATGTAACCCAAGGATAGGGCAGGAAGCTTGAGACCAGTTCTAAACTGGAGGATATAGTGGATGGTCTGGTTTGACTGTGAAACGTCACCTAGTTTTGTGCTTTGAACACTGGTCCTCACTTGACGGCGTTTGTGAGGCTGTTGACACTTCGCCAAGTGCTTACCTAGCTGAACTCACTGAGGCCAGTTCATGGGCTTGTGTTACCTCAAGCCTCTGCTACCATGATTTTTGCCCAAGTGTAAGAACACAAGCATCACTTTTTAAAAAATAAATTATTTTACATCCTGACCAAAGCCTCCCTTCTCTCCTCTTCTCCTCCCCCCCCCCCACAGCTTCCCCTCTACCCACCCTCCTCAATCCATTCCTCCTCAGTATTTGCCCCAAAGGGGGCAGGCATCCTACAGGCATGAGCAAAGCAAGGAAAACCGAGCTGCCACAATACCAAGCCCCTCCCCCTGTATTCAGTCTGGATAAGGCAATCCAGCAGAAGGAATAGGTTCCCTAGAGCCAGATAAAGCGCTGCCCCCACTGCCAGGAGTTCCCACAAATAGACCAAGATACACAATTGTCACATAAATGCAGAAGGCCTACTCTTATGGGAACTCATTCCACCAATATCTTTGGGGCAGCAAGCTCTAGGGTGTGGCCTTGTCTGCTTTGTGACAACTGATAAGCTGTGGAAGTGTGCTCTCTCTCTTGCTCTAGTTTGTGCTTGGTGTGTTGGGACATCAAGTGGCGGAGAGGCAGTATAGGATCTGTATCTGTGAGTTTGTCTATTCATTGTACCCCTTAATAAGTTGGTTATTATACATTCTGTAAATTGTTCTATCACCTGGCACCCAATATGGGTCTCAAACCCATGACCCTGAGATTGAGAGTCTCATGCTGAGCTAGTTTTAGTCTTTAAGTTATATGGGTTATTAACAGTTACAGGTTAATAGTCACCCCTGTTTGTCATACTTAGTTAGGTTCTCTAGATGCCCAGAGATGTACTCCACACAGATAGGCAATCTTCAAATACTTCAAAGACCTACAGAACATTGTATTTAAATGTTTTAATATCTTAGAACTCAGTAAACGTGAGACAAAACCACTCCTGGCAGCACTGTCTGTTTCCGGGAGGATGCTGGTTATCAAGGAAACTCCTTATGCATCTTGTTTCCTTCTTGGCAAAACTGGCCTATTGGGCAAAGAACTTTCCCTTGACTCAGCTGCTGATAGTAAGCATGCTGTCCAATCCAGACAAGCAGAACTCAAAGAAAAACAAGTGTTGAACATTGCTAAGACAGGTAGGATCACCTTTCAAATTTTCTTGCTTCTGGAAATGGTCAGTATGATATTCTAGGCTTGTAGCCAAAGCTGGCTGCCCCAACGCTGCAGAGAGACTTTGGGTGACTGTCCAGGCAGCCAGCTGTCTCTGTCATGTCTCACACCTTTTGGAAGTCACTTGCTTGCACTTCCTGCTTTCTCAGGTAATATTATTTTCCTTCTCAGGTCTTTGATGGAGTTGAAGACTAGATAGTCACAGGAGTTATTCTCTCTTAGCTAAAGTATATTAGGTACAAGATTTAGACTCTTCAGGATAGGACAGCTATTGGAATAATCTCTGTTATCTGCCAGTTACCTATAGTCTGGACATTTAGTGTGTGCTTTTTGCTTGATGTTCTTGTTGTTTGTTGTTCTGTTCTTGTGCATGTTACTATTCTTTTTTTACTCCCAGACAATACTTGATAATTGTTCTTATTGTATATAGTTTTGTGTTAGACTTAGAACTTTCTTATTTAGACAAAATACAGGGAAGTGTTGTGGGAACTCATTCCACCAATAGCCTTGGAGCAGCAAGCTCTAATGCATGGCCTTGTCTGCTACATGACCACTGATAAACTCGAGTGGAAGCACACTCTTGCTCTCTTGCTCTGGCTAGTGCTCATCGTGGTGGGACACCAGGCAGTGGCTGGATCAGCTCTGCTTAATTCTGTATTCGTGAGTTTGTCTTTACATTGCACCCCTTAATAAATTGGTTATTATACTTTTTGTAAATTCTTGAAGCAGCCTAGGTCAGTCCCATGTAGGCTCCCTGGTTGTTAGTTCAGATTCTGTGAGTTCCCATGAGCCAGGCTAGCCATTTCTGTGGGTTTTCCTCTGATATCCTTGATCCTTGTTTCCTAAAATCCCTTCTCTCTCTCCTTAGCAGGACTCTTCAAGTTCAGCCCAATGTTTAGCCATGGGTCTCTGAATTTGCATCCATCAGTCACTGGATGCAGGCTCTCTGATGACAACCAGGGTAGTCACCAGTCTCATCACAGGGGATGGCCAGTTCAGGGTATGCATCCACTGTTGCCAGGAGTCTTAGTTGGGACCATTCTTGTAGACTCTGTAAGTTTCCCTTGTATCAGGGACTCCATAAAGCCCCCTTTCCAGTCATCTCTCTCAGCACTCTCCCCCTCCACCCACCCCTCAATCTGATCTCTCAAGTTCCCTTGCCCATCCTCCCCCAGCTCACCCAGTAGACCTCCCCCCCCCACCGCCCTTGGGCCTTCCTTGTTACCTATCCTCTCAGGGTCTGTGGATTGTGGTATGGTTATCCTTTACTTTATAGCTAATATCTACTCTGAGTGAGCATATACTATGTCTGTCTTCTGGATCTGAGTTACCTTACTTGACTTTTTCTTGTTCCATCCATTTGCCTTCAAATTTCCTGATGTCATTTTTTTAAACAGCTGAGTAATACTTCATTGTGTAAATGTAACACATTTTCTTTATCCATTCTTTGGTTGTGGGGTGTCCAGGTTGTTTCCAAGTTCTGGCTATTACAAGTAAAGCTGCTATGAAAATAGTTGAGCAAGTGTCCTCATGGTATGAGTGGACATCCTTTGGGTATGTGCCCAGGAGCTATACTGCTGGGTCTTGAAGTAGACTGATTTCAAATTTTCTAAGAAACTACCATATTGATTTCCAAAGTGGTTTACAAGTTTGCATTCCCACCAGCAACAGAGGATTGGTCCCCTTACTCCACATCCTCTCCAGCACAAGCTGCCATTTGTGGTTTTGATCTTAGTCATTCTGACAGGTGTAAGGTGAAATCACAGAGTTGTTTTGATTTGCATTTCACTGATGGCTAAGGCTGATGGGCATTTCTTTTAGTGTTTCCCTGCCATTTAAGATTTTTTTACTGAGAATTCTGTTTAGGTTTGCACCCCATTTTTAATTGTATTATTTGTTGTTGTTTAAATGTCTAGTTTCTTGAGTTCTTTCTATATTCTGTCTGATGTGGGGTTGATGAATATTTTTCCCCATTCTATAGGCTGCCATTCTGTCCTATTGACATTGTCCTTTGCCTTACAGAAACATTTCAGTTTCAGAAGGTCCCGTTTATTGATTGTCTTTCTTAGTGTCTATGCTACTGGTGTTCTATTCAGGAAGAGGTCTCCTGTGCCAATGTGTTCAGTGCTATTGCCCACTTTCTCTTCTGTCAGGTTCAGTGTATCTGGTTTGATGCTGAGGTCTTGATACACTTGGACTTGAGTTTTGTGCAGGGTGATAGATATGGATCTATTCGCATTCTTCTACAAGCCAACTTCCAGTTAAGCCAGCACCATTTGTTGAAGATACTTTATTTTCTCCATTTTGCCTTCTTTGTCAAAAAATAAAGTATCCATAGGTGTGTGAATTTATGTCTGGGTCTTAGATTTTATTCAATTGATCGATGTGTCTGTTTTTAGCTAATACCGTGTTATTTTTACTACAATAGCTCTGTAGTAAACCTTGAGATCGGGGATGTGACACATCCAGCAGCTCCTTTATTGTACAGGATTGTTTTATATTCATATGAAGCTGAGTATTGTTCTTTCAACTTCTGTAAAGAATTACACTGGGATTTTGATGGCGATTGCATTGAATCTGTAGATTGCTTTTGATAAGGTTGCTACTTTTGCTGTATTAATCCTACCTATCCAAGAACATGGGAGATCTTTCCATTTTCTGGTATCTTCTTTAATTTCTTTCTTTAAAGACTCAAAGTTCTTGCTATACAGGTCTTTCACATGTTTGGTTGGCGTTACCCCAAGATATTTTATGTTCTTTGTGGCTATTGTGAAGGATGTTGTTTCCCTGATTTCTTTCTAAGTCCTTTTATCATTTGTGCATGGGAGGGCTACTGTTTTTTTTTTTTTTTTCAGTTAATCTTATATTTTTGGTTGTGAGCCTAGCCTTTAACAGCTGAGCCATCTTTCCAGCCCTGCCTGAGTTAATCTTACATCCACACTCTTCACTAAAGGTGTTTATCATCTGTAGGAGTTCCCTGGTAGAATTTTTGGGGTCTCTTATATATACAATCATGTCATCTGCAAATAGTGAAAGTTTGACTTCTTTTCCAATTTGTATCCCCTTGATCTCCTTTTGTTGTCTTATTGCTAGTGCTACATTGAATAGATATGGAGAGAGTGGACAGTCATGTCTTCTTCCTGATTTCAGTGAAATTGCTTTGAGTTTCTCTCTATTTAGTTTGATGTTGGTTGTTGGCTTGCTGTATATTGCTTTCATTATATTTAGGCATGTTCTTTGTATCCCTGATATCTCTAAGACTTTTATCATGAAGAACTGTTGGGTTTTTTTCAAAGGCTTTTTCAGTGTTTAATGAGATGATCATGTGGGTTTTTTTTCTTCAGTTTGTTTATATGGTAGATTACACTGACAGATTTTCATATGTTGAACCATCCTTGCATCTCTGGGATGCAGCTCACTTGATCATGCTGGATGATCCTTTTGATGTGTTCTTGAATTTGGTTTGATAGTATTTTACTGAGTATTTTTGCATCAGTGTTTATGGAGGAAATTGTTCTGTAGTTCTCTTCCTTTGTTGAGTCTTTATGTGGTTTGAGCATCAGGGTGACTGGCCTCATAGAAAGAATCTGGCAATGTTCCTTGTGTTTTTATATTATGGAATAATTTAAGGAGTACTGGTATTAGCTCTTCTTTTCAAGTCTGGTAGAATTCTGTGCTGAAACCATCTGGCACTGGGGGTTACAGGCCTATTTAAATTGTTTATCTTATCTTGGTTTAATTTTGGTATGTGGTATCTGTCAAGAAATTTGGCCATTTATTTTAGATTTCCCAATTTTGTGAAGTACAGGGTTTTGAAGTATGGTCTAATGATTCTCTGGACTTACTCAGTGTCTGTTAAGTTCCCCTTTTCATTTATGATTTTGTTAATTTGGACATTCTCTCTTTGCTTTTTAGTTAGTTTGGATAAGGGTTTATGTATCTTGTTGAGTTTTCTCAAAGAACTAACTCTTTGTTTCATTGGTTCTTTGTATTGTTCTCTGTTTCTATTTTATTGATTTCAGCCCTGCGTTTGATTAATTCTTGCTATACACTCCTCTGTGTGTGTGTGTGTGTGTGTTGTTGTTGTTGTTGTTGTTGTTGTTGTAGAGCTTTTAGGTGTGCTGTCAAGTTGCTAGTATGAACTTTCTCCAAATTCTTTATGCGGGTACTTAGTGCTATGATTTTCCTCTCAGCATTGATTTCAATGTGTCCCATAAGTTTGGGTATGCTGTGCATTCATTTTCATTGAATTCTAGGAAGTCTAATTTCTTTCTTCCTTGATCCAGTGGTGATTCAGTCAAGAGTTGTTCCATTTCCACAAGTTTGTAGGCTTCTTGTAGTTTGTGCTATTGTTGAACTCCAACTTTAATCCATGGTGATCTGATAAGATACAGGGGTTATTCCAAGTTTTTTGTATCTGTTAAGACTTGTTTTGTGACCAAGTATGTGGTCAGTTTTGGAGAAGTTTCCATGAGGTGCCAAGAAGAAGGTAGTGTGTGTGTGTGTGTGTGTGTGTGTGTGTGTGTGTGTGAGTTTGGGTGAAATGTTCAGTAGACAATTTGTTAGTTCTTTCTCTGTTTAGTTTCTGTCTGTATGATCTATCCATTAGTGAGAGTGGGACATTGAAGTTTCCCACTATTAATGTATGGGGTTTGATATGTAATTTCAGCTTTAGTAATGTTTCTTTTACAAGTGTGATGTCCTTGTATTTGGGGCATAGATGTTCAGAACTGAGATATCATCTTGGTGGATTTTTCCTTTGATGAGTATGAAATGTCTATCTCCTTTGATTAATTTTAGTCTGAAGTCTATTGATAGATATTAGAATAGCTACTCCAGCTTGCTTCTTCAGTCCATTTGAATGGCCAACCATAAGTCTTAATTTGGGTTTTGCTGCTGATATTTCAGGAGACTAAGTCACTTGGATTACATATCCTTATTTTTATATCCAGTGAAAATTATTATAAGCATCATAAAATTCAATTTAAATCCATAAAGACATGGAAGTCTGAGTAAAAATATATCTAGTGACTTCCCAATCCTAAGCACTTTACAGGGCTGGAGAGATGACTCAGCAGCTAAGACTGCTGCTCCTCTAGAGGACCCGGGTTCAGTTCCAGCATCCACATCAGGTGGGTTCACTATCACCTGAAACTTTCAACTCTAGAGAATATGACATGCTCTTCTTTACTCTGTGGGCATACACATACACATACCACACAGCTCTCTCTCTCTCTCTCTCTCTCTCTCTCTCTCTCTCTCTCTTTCTCTCTCTCTCTCTCTCTCTCTCTCTCTCTCTCTCTCACACACACACACACACACACACACACACTACAGCACTTACTCATACTCACACACCACACAGCCTATACTCATACACATACACCCCACACAGTAGGTGCTCACACACACCACACAGCACACGCTCATACACACACAATACACACCACAGCACTTACTCATACACTCACACACCACACAGCACACATATACACACGCCACACAGAGAGCACATACATACACACACAGCACACACTCACATGCACACAACACACTTGCACATACACACATAGTCACATACACACACCATGCACATGGCACACACTCACACAGCACATATTCACGTACACAGTATATGCTTACAAGTGAAATAAAATCTTTTAAAAAACTCACTCCAGTACCCAGTACAGCTGTGTAATGGAGGAAGAAGGAAACGCATACTCTGGTCAGCCAGCTGTGGGGGTTGGCGGTTCTGTGGCATAGTAAACTGGCCAAAGGATAAGAATTAAAGAGAAGAATTGAAGGAATACCTGAAGAGCATTTTGAAAAACAAACAGTGTTTGGTTGTCATAAAGAGGTTAAATCCTACTGCTATGCCCTTGGGTATATAATTATGCTAGTATCATACCAAGGAAAACATAAAAGTGTCAAGCATGGGGAAAGAATGACAGATTTTAACATATCTAGTCTTATCTTTATAAAAGGCAGTTATTTCAAATTAAGAGCACAGCCCTTCCTGAGTGCAGAGATCATGTCTGTGGGTTACGTTCCTGGTGCACAGTTCAGCCTAGAGGATAGGCAAGAATCCCAAGAAATAATCTGGATGAACAGCCACCCAGAGCAGGCTGTGTCCAGTGCCTTCCCTATCACACTTCCCGGGAACATCAACAAAAAAACCCACTGCTGACTCTGAATCTGCAGCAGTCTTGACAAACACGGGACAGCACGGCTCCTGTTGACCAGTTGTGAGCACAGTTCGGAAGGGACGGCTGCTGTCTGCCCCAGGTGCCGTGGCATTTTGGGGTGTGTGTGTGTGTGTGTGATTCTAGTTACGGTTATCAGAGTGTGAGAACAGAGCAGAAGAGGCCATTGACCCTGACACTCACCTCGCCGTGGGGTTTGCACAGGATAGTCGTGCAGTCCGGACTGGATCGGAACCTGATCTGTTCCTCCCAAACAAAGTCGGTTGGTGGCTGGGGCTTTGCTTCCGATGCTGCTGCCCACACCTTTGAGAAAGCAGTTTGTTGCTGACAAATGCCACTGGGGTTCCAACTTAGATCCACAGATGTCACTGTCATTAATCTTTCTGCACAGATAGGCTTTTCAGTGTCATTAAAGGTGAGAAAGGTGTCCTTGCATTTGCCTGGGTAGAGCTGTAGCTCCTTGTGCCGCAGCCTCCTAAGGCCCTGTGGCTGCAAAGGCATCTGTTGTTTTAAAGTGTGATGGAACACAGGTTAAACAACTGCCCGGTCCACGGTATGGGGGCTGTGAGTGACCCAGGATTGCCAATAAATGCAGCCCAGCTGCATGCTGTCAACCTATCCACATATCTTTGAGGGGTTTTTTCTGTTGTTTGTATCTTGATTTTATTGTTCTCAAATGTGAACTTTATAGATGACAGGATCTTATCTCAATGTCATGCAAAACAAACACAGTGCACTCTTACAACCCACTGTCAAGGACTGGACACTCCAGGCTCAGAGAGACACAGACCAAGTGGAAAACTGTGCTAGTTAGTTCCTGTTCTCTGAGCCAACAGTCTCTTCACTTGTCTTTTAAGAAAGTGTTTTCTTACTTTAGGGACTTAGGACTCTCACTTTAATAGCTAGGGAACTGAAGAGAGCTGTGTTGCCTGCATCTGTCCACACCACCATAAATCACAAAGGTCACATTCAGTACAAAGACCAAGTGTTCAAGAGGCCACTTGTGCCGAGCCACAGGCTGACTGTAGAGGGAGCTTTCTCTATTCGGAATTGGCCCTGGAATTCCTAACTCACAAGGCTCCCAGCTCACCGTGCTCCCAGCTCCTGTTGTCCCCAGCTCACCATATTATTATCTCATGGTATTCCCTGATCATGAAGTTCAGATCAAGGCGGCCCTGGCTCATAGTTCTTCCTGATATTCCTGGCTGATAGCATCCCAGTGCACTAATATATTCTCAGTTCATGGTATTCCCAGCTCACAGCATTCCCAACTCAAATTCTGGTCAGATCTTGGCATTCCCACCACATGGTGCTCCCAGCTTGCTGCGTTTTTAGCTCATGATATCCATAACTTGCTGCATCCTTAGATCCTGGCACTGCTAGCTCACAGCTTTCCCACATTACTGTATTCCAACTCAGCTGGCCTCAGCTCCCGGTATTCCTACAATCTCAGGACCCTGTATCTGCAACACCTGGTATTCCCTGCCCACGGAATTCTCACTAACCATGGTATTTCTAGCTTAAGGCATTGCGGGCTCCTGATATTCTCAGCTCATGGTGTTCCCAGAACATTACATCTCATCGTGACACCCATGTTACTGTTCACACTCCATTGTACTCCCAGATCACCGTGTTCCCAGCTGGTGGCACTCCTAGTTTATGATGGTTCCAGGCCATCCTTACCGTCACCGTGGAGCTGGCATGCATGATGATGTTGGGGGGGAATCGGTACAAGGAAACTGCTTGTCCATTCACGTTCTGCTGGAGAATGTGGTTCCCGATCTCTGTTTCTTTGTCAGTGGAAGAGTTCATGAGCCTCACAAACAAGCCCTTGACATTTACCTCAGCTATTTTAATGTCTTCAAGAAAACTAGAAAGCAAGAAATACAAGGTGGGTTTGCATAGAAATGTCTTTGGCACATGGCAAGAACTCAGTAATGTGATGCCTGCCCATAGTCTCAGCACTGAGAACACAGAGGCAGGAGAATCACAAGTTCAAGGTCAGTCTAGTCTATGCAGCAAGTTACAAGCTAGCTAAAGCCTCATGAGAGCCTCCTCATGAAATAGAGCCCAAATAATGAATGGGTGGGCTATGGATGGAGCCTGTGGGCTTTTGTAATGATTTCCTTTTATTTTGTGTGTATGGGTGTTTTGCAGGCATGCAGGCCTGTGCACTGCATGTGTACAGTACTCACAGAGGTCAGAAAAGGGCACCGGATCCCCTGGAAGTAGGGTTGCAGACAGTAGTGAGCTGCCATGTAGGTGGGGGAAACTGAACCCAGGACCTCTGGAAGAGCAGCCAGTACTCTTAACCACTGAGCATCTCCCCAGCCCCAAGGACTTTTGTATTTTGCAACCTAAGGAAAGTGGCTTGCCCTACTGGTTCTGACCATTATCAGAGCAGTTAGTATTGACCATTTTATATCAAACAAAGGAAACCTAAAATGTGCTTAGGTGCCAGGGCATAAGTGTTACAGGAAAATGTAACTATGGTTTTCTCTATGTCCTACTCTCAACAGAAGCCACTGTGACATCAAACACCTAAAAGGAAATCAAGGGGCTGGGGATGGCTCATTGGCTAAGAGCACTTGCTGTTCTTTCAGAGGACCTGGGTTTGGTTTCCAGAACACACATGACAACTCACAGCCTCCAATAACGCCAGTGCTGGAAGCTTTGATTCCCTCTCCTGGCCTCCAAGGATACCACATGCACACGGTGCACACTCAGTGTGCAGACACCCACACATGCACACGAAAAGAAGGAAGCCAGACCATAGACATCCAAAGTCACAGCCCATGGTTCTTTCTTGAGAAAGTGACCACGATGATGAATAGCCACAGTGAGTTCAAAATAATTCTGAATCCTGACATTATATACAATGGCTTTCTTGCTCCCAATTCGTGTTGAGACTGTAGTGTGCTGAAAGACCCGTTAGTCTGTTACACACCTGCATTTCATAGAGTGTCACGTGCAAATACACCTGAAGGTCATAACTTCCCTGTGTTGAGCTAGAAACAGCAGCGTAATTTCTTATTGTTTACAATAATTCATCCTGCTTACATATCAGTTACTTGACAAAAACACAGTTGCAATGCTTTGTCCCTACTTCCCCACAATTTCTTATCTATACTGCCAAATTTTAAAAAAGCTATGGAAATCTGAAAAATAATTTCTTTGCATACATATATGTATACAGTGTGCATGTGTATGAGTTTGCATGTTCACATGTGGGAGGCACATGTATTTGCATGTGCTCATGAGTGTGCGTGTGGAGGCCTGAGGTTGATGTTGGCTGTCTTTGGTGATCACTCTGTACCTTACCCACTGAGGCTCTTACTGAATGCAGAGCTGGCTGGTTTAGCTGGTTTGGCTGGTCTCGCTGGGGAGGTCCCAGACTGCAGGTGATCAGGAAGTAACTTTTACATGGCTTCAGACCCTATAGGAACGTCCCCAGCCCAAGCGGTCCCCTGAGGCCATCAGTTGTGAACTGAATTGTATCCACATTCCTGTCCTCTGCACCTGTGACTTCCCATGACCACGCCCTTCTCTGTGTATGTGTGTGGCTGCCATCCTTAGTAGGCTCTGATCTCTGTGTGACACTGTCACAGCACCCTAACTGTTTTCTCCAGCCTCCACCCCCACCCCCACCCCCACACTTTGAATTGCTCTCCCTTTAGCTCCCAGAACAATCTTTGTGCAGACCCAATCTGACTTTGCCTCATTTCAGCTGGAAACTTTATGACTTCCTCCCAGAGACTAAACCAACTTCTCAGCATGGCAGCAAACCCCGCCTAGTCTCTCAGTTTCTGAAGTTTCATTTCCATGCTTCCCACCTCAGGCTTGAGCTGTGGCCACACAGAATTCCTCGAGAGCATCATCCATGTGGCTGCCCACATCTCTCTCAGGGCCAACACAAATGCTGTTGCTGCCTCTTGCTACCCACCCCCCTGCCAACCCTTCCATTTGAGACGAATCAATGTCTTTTGGCATCATGAGCACAAAAAGTCTCCTTATTTCCATTTGTTTCCCTGATTTGGCCAGTTAGTTTTCCTTTCTGGTGAACTGCCATTCCATACCGTTTAATTCCCTTTTCTGTGGGCTGTTTTGCATTTTCATGACTGACTGATGGCGTCATGTTTAACACACACACATGCATCCCCAAAGGAGAGGCTACAACTCTCTCTTTTTTGGTACATGCTATGGCTTGGACATCAAGTGTCTCCCACAGGCTCACGTGTTAGGACACTTGGTCTCCAGGTGGCGGCGCTGTCTGGGGAACCTTTAGAGTGTGGGCCTCACTGGAGGAAGTGGGTCACTGCGGGTGGCCTTGGGGTTTGTAGTCTGGCTATGCTCTGCCCTCTTTGCTCCTTGTTCCACCTGGCTGTGAGGAGGTCAAGACCCCAGCGGCTCTCCCAGCTCCATGAAGCGCCTGCCAACATGCCTTCCCTGCCATGACAGACCGTATCCCCAAAACTGTCTGAGTACTTCCTCCCCTAAGCTACTGACGTCACACGCCCTGTAACAGTGAGGAATGGCTAATACAGTAGACTTTCATTTTTCTCCCCACAGCTGCTGCTTTTGTGTCCTGAATATGAACTGCTTTTCTATTCTTTAAATACTTTACGAGCACGGATGTTTTGCCTGCATGTATGCCTGTGCACCACTTATGTGTCTCATGTCAAGGAGACCAGAAGGTGAGGGGTCTACTGGATCCAATGACACTGGAGTTACATACGATTGTGAGCATTTGGACCTCTGTGGTAGCCAAAATGTACCCACCCTTCACCCCTGGGGCCTATGAATATGCTAATGAAAAATTGGAAAGGTTTTGCAACTACAATTGAAGCAGGTTTTAAGAGAGACTAGCCTAGGCTATTCAACAGGCCCCCAATCCAAGGAGTCCTTGAAGTTAGAGATTGACTCCAGGTGAGCGGAAGGGATGGACTAAGTAAAGCACACTGCTGTTGGTGGTGAGGGCAGGGAGCTACACACACACACTCAGGAGAGGACTCCAAGAGGACGCTCAGCCAGGAAGTCACAGCCTCAATCCCAAAGCCAGAGGAACTGCATTTGGCTAACAACCTTGAAGAGTGTGGCCGAGAGCCTTAGATTAGAGCTCAGGTGTCTGACACTTGGCTATGACTTTGTGAAACTCTAACAAGAAAAATCAGGCAAACCAATCCAGGATTATTTATTTATTTATTTATTTATTTATTTTTGGTTTTTGAGACAGGGTTTCTCTGTGTAGCTTTAGAGCCTATCCTGGCACTCGCTCTGGAGACCAGGCTGGCCTGGAACTCACAGAGATCCGCCTGCCTCTGGGATTAAAGGCGTGTGCCACCAATGCCCGGCTCCTCCAGGATTATGACCTACACAACTGTAGCAAGGGCCAGATGATGAGACTCAGTATGTAAAGGCGCTTGCTGCCAAGCCTGATAACCTGAGTCTGATCCCTGGAATCCTCATGATAGAAGGAGAGAATGGTTGTTCTTCAGTCTCTCATGCTCTCTCTCTCCCTCTCTCCTCTCTCTGCCCCCCCCAACACAAATGTTTAACACCAATTATATTCTATGATAGGTGCTAGTTTGCTTATTTTAAGTCATGAAGTTAGTGGCAAACTTGTACAGCAGCAGAATAAAACTGATACGCTCAACACTGCCTATTTGACCTGCAAGTTTAGTCCCAATGTTCTTTTTGAAGACTTATTTCAGTGTCTCTTGTCATCATCATCTTCTTCCCCTTTCTTCTTGTTCTTTTTCAACCAACTCCGAGGCAATGTTTTCATCGTGTCTTTGAAGGTATCTTTATATTTTTAAGTATTCTCTTTTAGAAGTCTTTACAATATACCTGTGTTGGTTGGCCTGTTTCTTTTATGTCCTGTGAGCTGGCAATGTTCATTGAATCTTTGGCTTGTTGTCTTTAGCAGTTTGGGACAGACTGTCTGTTCCTGGCAAAACAGTTCACCCACAGTCATTCTTAACCAACCTCATTCTTCAGTAGCTACAATTATAATTATATTTTTAGGTTTCATTTTTAACTACATTTAATCGTGTATGTGGGTGTGCCCCCGTGTGTGTGTGTGTGTGTGTGTGTGTGTGTGTGTGTGTGTGTGTATCTGCGTGTGTATGTACATGCAGGTGCTACTGCATGTGTGTGGAAGTCAGCAGTTTACAGGAGCTGGTTCTCCTCCCATCACAGGCATCCCAGGGATCAAACTCAGGTCTTTCACACTTAGCGGAAAGTGCCTTACTCTTCTGAGCCATCTTGCTGGCCCTTGATTTCTTTTCAGTCTTGTCTGTCTGTTGTTCTAAACCCCTGAGTCTCTGTAATTCAGGATGGATATTTTCATCAACAGTTTTTTCTCCTAACCTAACGCACTGTTAAACCTGTGGATGGGAATGACAGTCTCTGTGGTTGGATATTTTCTTGTAGAGATCATCTTTGGTTTTTTTTTTTACTTCTAGTGTAGAGATCTAGGCTGACATTTTTATCTTGTCACAAAATGCCCGGAACGGTTCAGTCACTGCTTGTTTGAATCCTTAGAATCCCACACCATCACATTGTCTGTGTCGGCTTCTGGAATCTGTTTTGTGATTGACCTTGACGTCCTGTGCATGCTGTTGGTGTGACTTACTTCCTGGTATCAGATACGGAAACTCTGCAGAGAGATCATTTAAGGCTCTGCATAAGGTTTTGCTAAAACTTTGCTTCTGGCAGCCATCTAAGTTTTAGCACAAACAAGTCCATATCAGTCTTACTGAATCAGTTTGAAGAGGCTGGGAGCTAAGCTTGTTTAACCTCAGGATGCACCCTTTGGCATTCTTATTGGAAACCTAAGGTTTATCCGTGTCCTTGACACCTCCCAAATGCTGATTTCTGTTTTAAAATCAATCATGACAGAGTCTTGCACTGCTCAGTCCCTGGCCTATTAATTTCAAAGGGTAACTGTTGAGTGTCTCCAAACCCTGGGCAGGGCCTTTAGTTCCAGTTCCAGCTCTTCATAGAGGCGGTCTGAGCATGAACTTCTGTGCATTCTCTTCCAAACAGTCGCCTCTGCTCATACCCCACCAGCATGTGAGCAGCTGCTTCATAGAGACTCATCTCTGAACGTCCATGGTCCCGTGTTTGTTCCCCCCCCCCCCCCGCCCCCCGTGTGTTAGCATTGATGGCTCTGACTCATGTGTAGCTGCATCTTTTGTCTCTCCTTTCAAATCCCAGGGTCCTGTGACATCACTCTCATCTTACTGGTACCGAATGCTCCGTGGGATGGTTGTGTTCTTTAATGTTTATTTATTTACTATATTTATCTGTAAATGGTTGCCTGTGTCTGCTTACGTGCATCGTATGCTTGCAGGAGCCCACAGAGGCCAGAAGGCAGCACCAGATCACCAGGAACTGGAGTCACAGGCGGTTGTGAGCTGCAACATGGGTGCTGGGGAACCACACTCAGATCCTCTAAAAGAGCAGCCAGCGCTCTGAACCACTGGGCCGTCTTTCCAGCCCATTTTTTATTTTTATAGAACACACGTTTGCTTCTCTGATTACCTTTGTCTTACCTCATTAAATGGTCTCTATTTGAGATTTGTTTTTAAGCAGATGAACAAGTTGGCCATTCTTTGTAGCATATATAATCAAATATTTGTAGCTGCTTTTTAAAAAATCTTGTATGGTCAAGTGAAGTTTTATTATCATCCTAGCTTTGTTTTTACGCACATATAAAAGACTCATTTGCTGTCTGGAACAGAGTGCTGTTTGTGTCTGGGAACTTGACTCACCTTCTCCTGTGAGACCAAAATACAACAGCAAACACTTCACACAGCACGTGGAAATTTCAGGGCCGCTGCTAATCTAAGCCTTCAGCACTTGTCCTGTCTCCTCCCTGAAAGCCTTTGCAATGTGTTTAACTAGGACAGTTGCCTTGAGACTTTTGCTTGTAATCGGTGGTGGGCTGAGCGTGGAGGCTGACATGCCCATCTTCCTGTCTGCAGCTTTTGTACACATTTAATTTGTAAGGACATTGGGGAGACACAAGGCTATGCCACCAGGAAATGAATGTCACAGTCCTTTCCTTAAGCATGGCTGTGTGGGGTGGCGGCTTCTCATAGTGCCATGTTGCTTTTTTTGTCTTTCAAGTTTCTGTTCTCTGTGATTTGCTGTCAGTTCCTGACTGTATGTATCAGCCTCAATAATGCTACAAGTGGCACCTGAGTTTGTAATTGGGTGTGTATGGGGTGGGCCGTACTGTCTGGTGAAACAGGGGGAGATGGGGGGGGGGGCAACTGACTTCCACCAGGAAGGGTGCTGTGCTCAGTCTGAACCTGGGGACAGGAGGAGCTTCGCAGCCTTACTGGTTGTACTGGAGAATAGATGTCCATGCACAGATCATGGCTGGAGCCTGTCTCGGCCCCAAGCTCACCCCTTCTGATTCTAGACCTCAAGAATCAGGAAACCCCTCGAGAGCACTACTCAGCTTTAGTTCTCAATCTGACACAACGTAGGGTCATCTGAAATCGAAGCCTTGATTGAGGAATTACTGAGATAAGATGGCCTACAGGCACTTCCGGGGTTGTTTTCTTGATTGTTAATGGATGCAGGAGGGCTCAGCCCACTGTGGGTGCCACCAATCCTTGGGGAAATGGTCCTGGGCGATCTAGACGAGTCAGGTAGGATTGAGCCAGAGTGAGCCAGTAAGTAGAGTTCCTCTATGGTTGCCATTTTCATTCCTGCTCTGACAGCCATTGAGGATGGATTCTGACCTGGAAGTGTAAGTTAGGTGAACCTTTTTCTCCTCTGGTCTGCTTGTTCAGAGTGTTTTATCGCAGCAACAGACAGCAAACTATGCTAGAGGTAGAGATGGAGGGTAGGCAGGAAGGTTGCCCCCTTAGAGACATCTGCTCACAGGGAGCTAAGCTTGGCAGGACTCAGATATAGGCAGTGCTCACACTCGTGACTAGTGGGAGCTACAACAACCTCTCTACTTCCTGTCCTGTTTTGTTTTTCTGGTAGGAAAATATTAAAGAGATCCCCTGAGATGGTGGGTGGTGGTGGAAAAGAAACAACAGCTTTGACTGAAAACACCCAACTGTGACAAGAGGCATGGAGTTCCTACCCCACTTGAGATGGCTGAGAAGGTAATAAATACAAATCAGGGCATTGATCCATGGCAGGTGGCAATGCCCAACAGACAGGAAAACAATGTGCTGAGCTTATATGCTTCCCCAAAGAAAAGGAATTCACAGAACCGGTGGGATCTCTGACAGGGCTAGGATCTAGGGAGGTGAGCGTGTACCTGAACACACACACACACATACACACACACACACGTATTTAGAAGTACCAAAATGTCTTCCTATACTTTTACGTTTACCTTAATCACCACTTTTACTATGATAGACATTGAATGATTTTGATAGAGTATTTCTAGGTGGCAGAACAAATAATTGGGTCCCCTCCATTATCAGTAAAATGGCATACAGGGCCTGCATGACTGGAAACATGGCATAAGGGGAACTGGCACCCTGCTCCCCTGCTCCCCGGAGCTCTCAGACAGCCCTGTCTACATGGCCTTTGTGTCATCAACTTTTCACAGCTCAGTCGTGTTCACAGACTGAGAAACAGACTAAGCTCGCTCCTTTTCACCCAATAACAACTTTTTTCTTGGTCAATCCTCTTCATAGAAATTGACAACCATAGAGATGGATCATTAGTGTACAAATTCATCTTGTTCTTGCACTGAACTCATGGCTGATAGAAGGAAAAAACCCTAAATCCATTAGCAAGCAGTGGGATGACACAGTATGAACCACGTGTGCTGCATCATTTCCTCTGGGATCCCTGGAAATTCACACCCCTTGGATGGCCCCCTAGAAACTTCTATCAGTTGTTTCTAACTGCTCAGAACACAGGTAGTTATAGTTCAGGGACTTTCTTAGGGATTTGGTAACTAAAAGGATCCACTAATAGCTCAGAGCTCTGCTTTGTCCTGATTGGCAGAAGACGGGAAATTATTCGAATGTGTACCTGGATGTGAACTGGCCAACTTCTTCAAGGATCACAGAAAGGTGCTTGGTCATATCCTCGGTTTGGGACGAATGTGCATTGAGTTTCCTGGAGTCTCCAAATAAAGAAAGGAAATAATCCTCTCCTTCCCCCAACACAAATGTTTCCGAGTCAAAGCTCAGTAGGGGCTGTTTCTTTGTAATCAAGAAGCTTGAACCTTTCAAAGAAATTGGACAGGCAAGTGAGAGAGACATATAAGTTAACAACCAAAGAATCCAAGGGCATTACCTTTGCTCCTGTTTACAGGAGCAGGTTTCTTTATAGGCTTTACAGCCCCTGTCAGACTCAGTGAGAAGAATTAGAAGCATGGGTGGAGTCTCTACAACAGCTGCCAAGTAGCTATTTTCAAACCTCTTCACTCACTAGAGATGATTTAGCTGTCTTGAATGTTCGGGTGCTGAGTGGCAGTTGTATGAGCTGTGCAGCCATCTTGGCCCTGGACTCCCTGTGGGATTCACTCTCCTTGTGTACTCCCAGTCACAAGCACGCTGGGCGTATAGCTGATTATCTAGTTGTACTAGGGACCATCTGTATTCTTGAGTGAATACTGAACCTGACAAACTTGGGTATTATATGAACAAATACAGTCTTATTGTATTTAATGCTTGCTATACTGCCCAAATTAAAAGCCCACCTTGTGTGCAACACTGCCGTCTGCAGTGGAAAATGAGGACTAGAGGTGTCTGGTCTTTAGCTGGTACTGAGAAAATGACAGCTATCATAGATAGAGGAAGGGTCTTCCCTATGGGGCCCTGGGCCCAGAATAATCAAAGCATTCAAACAACTCAGATTTTGCTTTAGATTCTTGTATCTTTAACAAAACCAAAGAAAGGTGAACTATATAAAGGATTGAATAAGTTTTCGTTGTTGTTGTTGTAGTGACAGGGATGTGCCTAGGGCTTCAGGCAAACTACCTACATCTTGAGCCACCAAGCTATATCAAGAGCTGTGATGACTAAAGAAGGTTCCTCAAAGGATTTTGTTCAGAAGAAACACTAGAATTTATTTAGCACCAGCAGCCCTGTGGGCAACAAATCTTTCTGTTCCTTCAGAGAGGGTAACACACAGCATCTCCCTCTCCACAGCATCTCTCTCCACAGCATCTCTCTCTCCACAGCATCTCTCTCCACAGCATCTCTCTCCACAGCATCTCTCTC